AATCAAAGGCACTAAGTAGTATTGATATCAACTTCGAAGAAAATGACTGCCAAAATTACTTTCTACCCGTTCCACACGTCTTTCATGAATTATATTAAGGTATTGTTAAACTAAATTTCAAGTAGATTGAACCAAGGAATCACTTTGTCCCATACAAACTTTGCCCCCTTTTTTCACCCCCTTCATTTCATGACCCCATTTCGGAAAATCTTTTCTTATGAGATGCCTACGTCATAAAAAGAACACACCTTCCAACTTTCAGGTCTCTACGATATCCGTCAGTCATTTAGGACAAAGCATTTTTATTAGTTGTTCAAAACTCTATCGTTCCAGGTATGTCATTGACAGGAGGGCGCTACTATCTTAATGGGTTATTCATTAGTCCACTTGACATTTCAGAATCGTTTGACTTTAGATACCTAAGCGATTTGATATTCGGAGTCTTTTAATGAAATCAAGTTCTGAAATAACTTGAGGTGTTGTACCCGATCAAGCTTTTCATTGCAGGACAGTTAAATAGTTTTATTATTAGTTTCTTCTCTAAGTCTTAATTTGTCAGAGTAGGTAAAGGCTCCATGAGAGCAAAATTTAGCTTTATAATAGTTTTTAATTTTTTTCTTGAAATATTTGACGCCTTGTAATCTCTTGTAATCTCTCGTTAATATAGGTCCACACAAATAAAGAATGTTTGACTTCGACTTTAATAATTATGCTCTTACATAATTATAAATAAACTAGCTTTCCGCCCGCCGCTTCGCCCGCGTGGAATTTTTTGGTTTTTATATAACTTATTACACTCAGATATAATGTGGCTTTCTATTGGTGAAAGATTTTTTAAAATCAGTTCAGTAGATCCCGAGATTACCCCTTACAATTTAACAAATATACAAACACACAAACTTTACCTCTTTATAATATTAGATTATAGATAGGTAATTTGAAACCCTATTTTGTTTTATTCTTTTTTTTATTTTAAATATTTCACGATCCAAACTAATATTTACTGTAAGTAAATGCTAAATAGTAAATATTAGTTTGGATTGTGAAATATCCTACTAATATTATAAAGGCGAAAGTTTGGATGTCTGGATGTCATGATGTCTGGATGTTTGTTACTCTTTCACGCAAAAACTACTGAACGGATTTTGTTGAAACTTTACAGTATTATTGTTTATAACCCAGATTAACATTATGACGATATGTGGCAAATAAATTTCAATAAATAAATAAGACGTGTCTAAAAGCGCCATCTATCGTCATTGGTTAAAATCTACAGCACTGGACAAACTACGGTATGACGTTCGTAAATATTCATTCGGGGGAAACCGTGAAACGCCATCTATCAACATGGGTAAAATGAGGTAAAACATCATATCTAACGGGGGTAAAACGAGGTCCACGCGAACGAAGTCGCGGGCGGCCGCTAGTTTATAATAGGTAGCTTTCCCTCCGCAACCTTATTGGTATTCCATGTATGTGTCTTTTAACTGAGTTCTGTTAAACATTTCATGTAAAATTTGTCCAATTATAACTCTATTTACATCTGCATCTGTAAGCAAGGATTCATGTTCTCCAGCCCAGATGCCGAGTAAACAGAATCGTCTTTCAGTGACGTGCAGCTGCCCCTATATTTGACCCACTGACCTAATTTTTTATTATTTATTTGTGTCAGTGTGCTCTTCTAAAGAGTGAAGACGATTGTATGTAGGTACTATTAAAATGTAATTTTAACTCATTGGTTTTGTCTCATATTTGAGGAATGTATCATGAGTAGAGTCTTAGTTTAAAAGGATGCCAACGATTTAAATTTCAATAGGTAGACAAAATTCAGAATTCTTAATTATCAAAAATTTTAGCTTTCTCCAGTAACACTGGTATTATTATACTGTGACTCATCAAAGTCATCATTGTCAAAAATATTGACAAATCGAGAACTGTCACGGCCAAAAAACTGGCACGCGTCCGTCCTCCGTAAGCGCCACCGCGCGACTGATTGAGATTGTCCAAGCCGTCATGGGCGATTTTTTCCACATTTTTTAACATAGTAACTAAATAAGACGCAATATAAAAATTTCATCCGTTAAAAGCCCTCAAGTTATTTCTGAACTTTAGTTTAGTAAAAGATTCAGAATCTCAAATCGCTTATTTTAAAAATAAAACCATAATTAGAAAACGAATAGAGGTAACTTTGGGAATTTATTCTATCGAGTCAACTTCATCAAATCGTGTTTCCATCCGTTAATAGCCCTAGAAAATATCCTCAACTATGCCCAAAAAAAATCTTAGCCTTTTATTTTACTGTTTAGTACCTCAAAAATGAAAAATGAAAACCTCATTTTCGCCATTTTCTCTGTTACCCGGCCTTAATAAAGGTGCCAGTTCCCATATCGAGGACATGACTTTTTTTTGCTGCTCGATAATAATGCACATTGTTTTTGTGGCCGAAATATCCGTTGATTCATCTACCAATATGCTAAATTGATCACTTTTAATAATGTTTTCCAAATAATCTTTTTTGGAAATCACCAATAACATTTTTTACCGTAGATGTGCATTTTTTTTCGTCAGCAATTCTGGAGTCAGGAAAAAAAGATTTTAGCACATTCTGATAAATGATCCATGGCCATAAATGACATGTTGTGCTCAGCGATGAATGCACTGAGTTTTATTTCAGCTTCCATTACTTTTCTATTGCGATCTGTTTGTCGATTCTGAAAATTTGTGCTAACGTCTCTTGTAGAAGAGCTCGCTGATGATTTTCTTACATGTTGGGTATTTGAAACATGACGCTTTAAAGTTAAAATTTTGCAAGAAAGTTTGACGTCGCACACTGTATATTTTGCCCTGTATGGGTCATCATCACCATTGACAGAGGCAAACCAATTCCTAAAAGTTTCATCACTTTTCCACTGCTTTCTGTACTTCTGTTTTATGTGTTTACTCTGCTTTTTCGGCGTAGGTCCGTCGTCACTGTCACTCATTTTCAACTAAAACTTCTTCAATGTTGATTTGACTCTTGACTTTACTGTGAGAGACTAGGCCCGTCAGCCTGTTTGTATGTCCCTTAGCTCCACCTATACTTATAGCCACACATTTTGAACGTTTTGATATCAAATATTAATATAATTTGGCATAATGAGTTTGGAATGTCTTGTATAATATTACTTTGCCATGATGCCCCAACATAATCTTTTGATTTAATTTTAAAGTGTCAAATAGGTTAAGGTGAGGCGGGGGTGGCCCCCTGGGCCTTGAGCCAGCCCTAAACCGCCTGTTTAGTTTCATACATAATATATACTGGTCATCACAAAAATCGGCCCACCTACGTTTTACAGGAAACCTCGTTTCTACTGACACAATCATGGTGCCCTAACAATATTGGTGTTATTTGAAAGCCCAATAAATATCCATAAACATAACATAAAGAAAACACATTTAATTTCTTAATAAATGATTAACATATACAATAAATGTGACGTTAAAAAAGACCTAACTTTGGGCTCACCTCTGGGATTAATTAGACCAATTTTTATGGTTATAAAACCAAATAATGATCTCACGTGTCCTCTTTAACAGATTGATAGCGATTAATCCCAACATAACAGTATTAAAAGTTGGCTCAAGCGTAACTATTTTTTGAAGAAGTGACTCTGGATCCTTCTAAAGACACATTTTTGGGGTAAAAACCTTTCCTTTAATTAAATGAACTTTAGAACTAGGCTTTCAAATGGTGCCAATATTTGTGGGAAGTGGGAATGCATACGTTTGAAAGTGCTTGTCGCGGTTAGGGTCGATTTTTGTGATGACCAGTGTATAAATGATTTCATATTAATCACATTTACCAAATCATGAGGTAATAACCGGTAATTAAATTATTAATAATGTTCACATGATCATCACATTTATCGTAACACATACGTACTCGCGGAGATGAACAGACCTGACTCGAGGTTAAGAAACGATACTTTAGTACAATATCTACTGAAAGTACTGAAACTTACTTTTGCAGGAATTGCACACTATTTTTCTAATAAATAAATCTTAATGTTACTTAATCGTGGAAATCGTTATAAAAAGCTCATATCGCAATCAATAATTGGAGGTTTGATAGGTAAAGATTTTATTTTATATTACATGTAATTAATAATTGTATCTAATAATAACAGGTAGGTATTATACGCGATACGCAATCGAGCTATAATAAAAAAAAATCTGTTTCGACCGGGATGCACCAGCCGTGGTAACAGGCTGACTGGAGGAATAATTAAATGCAATGCGGAATGTTTAAAAATAATTATGTTACATTCTGTAAGTATTACGATAATCAATAACAATATCTTTTAAAAGTCATCAAGAAGTGTCTGCTTTATGAAATTTATGTATTTTATTAAGTGACCCATTTGGATATGAGCATAATTTTATAATGTGTTAATTGACTAATGAGTGGACCAGGTAAAAGACTCTGTTTTAGAAAGTATTTGATTAATTACTTATTTCATAAGACGGGCTAATTACTTAAAGTTGACTGGTAGTAAGTCAAGTGTTGTCCTTTTGTATTTTTTGTTTGTTTTCGATATTTCTTTATTAATGAGAGTTATATCGATCATTTGGTATGAGTTGGATACTCTTTTCTCTTTTAATAAAAACTAGCTGACCCGGCGAACTTTGTTCCGCCTTAATGGCAATAAATAAGCAGACTTTTTTTTTTGTTTCGAACGGGAAAAAAAGTACCCTATGTCCTTCTCCTGGCTCTAAACTACCTCCCTGACAATTTTCAGCTAAATCAGTTCAGCCGTTCTTGAGTTATAAGCGAAGTAACTAACACGACTTTCTTTTATATATATAGATATATTTTATATATGAAATTAACTCTGAATTACTACCTATGTTGAGACTTTATAAGAAATATTAGTTTCAGTCTATTGATCTAATTGGTAAAAAACCTAGACTTCCGTAATTGTTACGTTTTAAACTTCTTGGGCACAAATGAAAAACAGGAATACAATTCCAACAAATAAGTTTTAATAACAAATAAATTATTGTATAAAATCCATTAAAAAATTAACCAAATATTTTATACACTTAATCTAACATCGAATTTACAGCTAAGTCTATCTTAATTACAAACAGCTACCTATCTAGTATTTAAAACTAACATAAAAATTAACCTAACACCCCGGGAAGCGGCATGTACCTGAAATTGAAAAAAACAAGACAGTTAAGATGTGTTCAACATTTAATTTTGTATTAATAGGTGCTGAAGTCGATTGTTTCATAGGAAAAGACAGAATTTCATAGAAACCAGACAGACAGAAAATTTAATGCGATTGCTTGACTAACTTAACTGTTTTCAAGTTGAATACTATTCAAAGTGGATAATGAACTGACCTGACGTTCCCCGGAGTGAATTTCCCTAAACGCGCATATAAACTTTGACCTGACCTGTAACAAAAACAAGAAAGTGTTATTTACTATAGACACATAGAAATGATCAAGTAAAACATGTTAATGCAATGTTCGTAAGTCCTTACTAGTTCCTGCTCCAACTATCAAGTCGTACTGCGGGACAAAGCCAGCAACGGGTCCCACTCGGCCAGATCCATCTCGACTTCACCTGTGAACAAGCGCACGCGTTAGACCCGTGATGAACTCTGGTGATGCGTGATCGCATTGCTCAAGGAAGACGTTGGACTTACTTATAAGGTCTTCGGGGAGATCGACGGTGGCTGGTGGAGGCAGAATGAAGCCTGAAGGTTCCAATTCCTGTGGGCAAACAATATAAATTTTAGAAAAATAATATCATCGTAAAGCCGTTCCAGATAAATAGAATTTTAATGTCTCAAATAGGTACTTACAATATCCATCAGATCTGGTATATCATTGGACGCCCAGGTTTCCAAGAGCGCCTCCTCTTCGCCTTCAATTAATGGAATCAGGTCAAGTAAATCCACGTCAAGTAGATTCTCTGGAATCTGTGGACAATAACAATGGGTTAGAAAATACAATAAAACATGGGAAAGTAATATTGCCTCATGACTTTTCTTCAATGGAACTTACTTCTGTGGATCCGTGACGTGACGGAGAGTCGATGCCGGAATCATATTGAACTCGTACTTTTGTGTCAGTGATCTGAAAGGAGAAAGAAAACATTGTTAGAGCACTTATCAAATTGTAGACAATAATATACAGTGTGTTTTGTAAAAGTAATAAACTTACAATATTGTTTGGAGCAACTGGTTTGTTCTCTTCCATCTTCTCCGCTGATGAAGGTAGGGCGAGGACCTAAACAAAAATACCGTATTCGTCAGAATAGATACAGTTATTTAAAAAAAAAAACAATATTGAGGCTATTATCATTTCGAAATCGAGAAACTTACGTTGATTTCACTTGGTTGGACAGCCGGTTCCACGGATTCGAGGTGAAAATCGTTCGGACCAACTTCCGTGGTTGTGTCCTCCTCCAGAAGGATCACTTGCTCAATAATCTGAAATAAAAAAATATTATATAAATAAAAATAACAATTAAAAAATGAATTATTAAAATATAAAATATTGAATAATTATTGAATTACTTACCGCTTCAGGCACGCACTCGCTGCCGCCCGCCGGCGCCGCCCGCCCCAGCTTCCTGGGAGGAGACTCCTGCCTACTGAGGGATGCCTTCAACCTCCTCACTACAAACAAACACACCACACGATTAGCATAATGATACTCAATATAAATTCTCATAGTAATCTATCAATGTAATACAAAAGTAAATTAAACGATGTTTTATATGATAAGACTTACATTTTTTGCGGAGCTCTGCGTTGTCAACGCGCAGTTGTTCCACTTCTTTCTCCGCATCTGAGGCGTCGTCCTCCAAGCCCGCTATGTAAATCGCGACTTCGCGATCGGTTTTTGGCTGGAGCTTTTTCTAGAAAATAAGGAAAGTGTTAGTTTGGTATACAAGAGAAATAAAATATGAATGCCCTTGTGTACTGTGTGCTTACTTCAGGGTTTATTAGTTGGACAAGCTCCGTCCACCTTTCCTTTATTTCTTTGCGCCTCAGTTGCTCATAATATTTGTTGCGCTCCTTCTGCTGCTCCTAAATGACACGAAAAAGAAAATTAATATTACACATCGTTTAAATGAAGATAATACGTACACATTCGCAATGATCACTTACTTTGGATAGACGAGGGCGGTTTTGCCCGCGAGGCCGGCCACGTTGCTTCAGAGGCAAGTTGTGCATCTGTAAAATATAATAAATTAAATTAGATCACGCAGACCTTACCTTACTGCTGTAACTATGAGTCTCAGTAAAATGATTTTAACAATCCGTGTTGCCTTTGAATCACTTACAACTTCCAATTCCATTGCGACGATTTTGAAAACTCGTAACTACAGGATCGCACAATTCACACACAAGACACGGTAGTCCCAGTTGACACCAAAAGGCGACTGACGAAGGCTGCATCGGGAACCGCTTTAAGTACCTGCGCCCGCGCACACCCGCCCCCGCCCCGCTGGTTGGGGGCGGCGCGTGTCCGATGACGCGTGGGGTAGAGCAGGGCTGAAGCGCAGTTCGCATTGGGAAAAGCGCGCCATCGAATTATTTGATATGGCCAGATTAATTATTCTGTATTATGTTTTAATTCGACTAACTAGCAGTCATAAAAATTAATTCTACTATTCCATTGTTCACTATGCGTGATTTGTTGATGATAAAAGTGTAATTAACTAACCTATGAAAATCGTTACTAAATTCTACCGAGATTGTTTTTATTAAGCTGAAGAAATTAAGTTCTTCACTTGTCTTGCCTTCTTATCATTTGTCCAACAGTCACCGGAGATCAAAACTGACAAATATTATAAAAATTCTGAGTACATTTAGCTCAATGTGTCAAAAATGTGTTTGAACAGTAAAATACGAGTTAATCTAACATTTTATTGAAATATCCTTTCGCTAGTTGCTGAGATCGTCGTTTATTTGATCGTAGCTTTGAAATAGTCGACTGTTTTCAGTACTTTTTCGGCCATATGGCTTTATGATACTAAAATGTATGTTTTTATAATTATTACAATAGTTATAAGACGTTAGGATCTAATATAACATTCAGTTCATTCTGTAAGTTTTAAAAATTCAATATGATGTGATCATTGCATATACGAGAGATAATTTAGTTTATCATTTTCTTTTCGTTGTTTGGGCTTTTATTAAAAATAGTTTCTTTTTTATGTCTTCTTACAGGTGTAGTCCTGTGATATTCACTATCATAATTTACGTAGAGTAGATAATATAAACTAATATACATTAATAATATGAATCCAACGATTCTGGTCTCAGTTTATTTATTAGCTAGTGTTAAGTTGGAGTTACATACATAACTTTTTTACTATGTAAAACAACTTGCCAATGTTTTGTACCTACGAGTACATAATATCAATCACCCAACTTTGCATGTGTAATATGCAAGTGTACCACACACCTGTCCGCCCTACGGTGATAGCAGTGAAACCTCGCGTTCTGAGACATTTCTCGCGAGTGAGTGTATCTACAGAGCAGGCGTGTGATATCAAATACATGAGGAACTTACGGCGCTGAACGAGCATATTAACAGCCAGCCTACGAAACTTAACATGTCTTAGAGAAAAAATATCCAAATCGTTAAAGTTTTCATTATTTATAATTTTTGCATTGGGGCCATCCATAAAGTACGTCACACAAATTTCATGATTTTTTTACCTCTCCCCCGTCCTTGTCACAGGTGGTCACATTTCTGAGACCCCCCCTCCCTAGTGTGACGTCACATGTTTTGCAATTACAAATCGAAAAATTATTAAATTAACAAAAAATAGCAACAAATAGAAACAATAAAATCACGCGCGAGGTACGGTGCGTTTGGCGGCATTATAGGCAAGTAGAATTAGATTTTAAATCTGAAATAATTCCTACAAAAGATTTTATTGATTTAATGGCTTCATTGGTTTTCGACTTCGACGGAGTTGTGCTTAAGTGGTGGGGGTATTTTTTAGTTTAATTTATATTTCAAATTACGCGATTAGTACCTCTAGATATATTAGATTTTGAAATGTGATGTCACGAAACTTAGGACCCCTCCCACCCCTTGTCACACCATGTCACACTTTGTCGACCCCCTCCCCCCCTCTTTACGTGTGACGTACTTTATGGATGACCCCATTCTGTTAATGGGGACCGAATACCTGCATTGGTTCGGCAAGGCTTGATTGCAAACAGTTTATGCGTTCGCGAAGATCTCATTAACAATCTTGTGACGCTGTAGTTAAATTTATTTGTAATTTCTGTGCCATCATATCTATTGTACCTATATAATATCATGAAGTAACATTGTTTCAAGCTATGTGTGTTCGGATCGAAAGTCAGGTAAATTACATTTGTTAAGTTTCTTTTTAAGGCATTTGACAAACAAAAGATGTGGAAAAAAACGTTGCCATACCTCACACGCAGGCGACGTTATCGTACTTCACACATAGCAAGGAAGCTCACACGGGTGGCAGCTTTAAGCTCGTTTACCTGGAATTGACCTTTGTCAATAAGTACGCATTGTTCTTGTTTTACAAATAATAATTCGGCTTTCGTGATAATCTCTATATGAATGGGTTGGCTAAGCTCGTTGATGAGCAGTAAATAAAGATAATGAGGATGATGAGTCACCTAAGTCTAGCTCGTTATAGACAACTGTCTTGTGAAATGTAGACCTGTTTGTTATCTTCTTCACAATGTGATGGCGATAAGAAGGCAATACGCATGGATTGGCGGTACAAAGTTCGCCGGGTAAACTAGTTAGTAACATTTTGAACACCTCTAAAGTCTTACTATTCTGGCTATTATGTGGGTACAGTCTGTATGTGGCTGTCATTCATCAAAAACAAGATAGAAAAAATAGTGTCAATGATTTAGATTCTGATTTCAATGAATGATTGCTTCTTGCACTTACTATAATTATGCAGTTTGTTTGACTTAGGCGGTTATGTTGGTGCCGCGCGTGTTTTCTATACAAACTGAGGTACTTGTATACAATGATTAAATCTGTCGCCCCGCGCTCCGCGGCGGAGCGCGGCGCAGTGTGATAACCGCCTTAGGGTGGATTCGACCAAACAAAAGTAAAACAATAATCACAGAATAAACTTGTCATTTTGACATTTTCCCATACTGAAACTGTCAATGTGCCAGTTATACCGGTAGTTATTCTCGGATAAATGTTTGGTCGAATCGGGCCTTAGAATATTAGGTTTTACTACTTCGATTATACGAGTATTCATAGTTATACCTACTCGTAAAGAAGAAAGATTTGATTGTTTGTACTGAATAGGCTCCAAAACTATTGGATTGATTTGAAAAATTATCTCACTATTAGAATCCTACATTATTTTTGATAAATATAAGCGGTACCAAGTTCGCCGTGTTAGCTATGATAAAATAAATGAGAGCAATTTGCTTGTAATACTGAATATTGCAAACAATACATACTTTGTTTAGTAAGTACTTCATTATTTAATCCCAACTAATCCCAACTAATATTATAAATGCGAAAGTAACTCTGTCTGTCTGTCTGTCTGTCTGTCTGTCTGTCTGTCTGTCTGTCTGTCTGTCTGTTACGCTTTCCCGCTTAAACCTCGCAACCGATTTTGATGAAATTTGGCATAGAGATAGTTTGAGTCCCGGGAAAGAACATAGGATAGTTTTTATCCCGGTTTTTGAAACAGGGACGCGCGCGATATGGTTTTTCTGTGACAGACAAAAATCCACGCGGGCGAAGCCGCGGGCGGAAAGCTAGTATTTTATAAAATAAAATATCTTCGATTGATGCGAAAAATTCCAAACAAATGAGTTACATTTTTAATTAAACTACTTAACAATAGTTTATAACTTACATTAGGCTAATGATATCAATGATAACGATAAGTGCCTACTTAGGGAGAGAAAGTTTCTCACTGAATACTAATGACAATAATATTTTTAACAATATTTAGATAATTGCATTATTGTGTTAATTATGGACCAAAACTTGGTAGTAACCTGGGAACTTTTGAGCAAATCATTAATATTATTACGAACATTATTCCAATACTCGTACACCTACTTAGTCGTTAGGAACTAAAAATAATAGAGTTTTATACTCTAACTTTTAAAACTTCCAACGTAGATTATTAAGTTGGATACACATTAAATATTATTATCTGTAAATTTTGTTGTAAAGTGAAGAATGAAACACGGTGGATGAATAAAGTCAAGCCAAACGTTAGCATTGCTAAAGTCGCTACCAAGCTATGCTACGAATGCTACGATGCTTCGTAGCGTCTTATCATTTGCTACGGAATTATTTTCGTAGCAGCCGCTTGTTCCTTATTGGAGATTATGATTGCTGATACAATATTTCGTAAAAATATAGTCTATTTGAAAGTATTTGCAGTTGTTAAATATATTTGTGGGTCATGGAAAGTGCATGTGACCTTTTTATATTAAATAAATGCTCTTATAATGAAACCTACCAAAGATAAAAAGATCACCTCATATGTTTCCAACACTTTCACTCACAGATGAAAGTCAAAAATGGGTTAGCATTAGTACATTCTTTATACGTAATAATATAGTACAATAAAACTTGCGATAAGCATAAACAATGTAATCATAAAATGTGTGTGAAGCATCCTTTCTAATCCTTTTGGAGACAATGCACACCAACACACATTCACTTTAGGGGCAATATCATACCTGCGGGTGCATTGTTTCTTCACAATGATACTTTACCATTCAGTATTTTTAAAAGTGTGGTATTTAAATGATCGAATATAAATTCAAATGTAAGGTATCAATAATACTGATTATGGCGCACTGAAATACTAAATGGGCGAAAGGTTGAGGGCGAGTAGAAATATTGATAACGGCGACTTGAAAATATGAATTTCAGTTACGGGTCAATCAGAACGATCAGCGATCTTACCTGAAGTAATTTATATTAGCTAGATGATCTACTATAGAGATGCTGACCTAATAATCGACGATTAAAAAGAACTGATTTATAAAATAATTTTGGTTTAATTTTTGACTTCGCACAGATGGCACGTCAAGGTCTACACTGTGGCATCATAAAATTATATGTAGTTGTAATGTGTGCAATTTTGCAACAATTTACACGGTGTTACCACAAAATATAACAGAAGGTAAACTCCATACTAAGCGCGCTCGAGCCACGCACACATAGACACCGCTCACGTACGCGTTATCAAGACTGTCTTGGACGAATGCGAGGCGCGACTGCGTTTGCTTGAGTGACGCTGCTCACGCGTTTGTAAAATGATTTTGTTTGTGCGAAAATGAGTGAACAACAAAAAAGGGGTACTATAACATTTGTTAAGTAGACGGTTGCTTACACTCAACATTAAAAACTAAATATTCGTTTTTTAAACTACCAGTTGATTCCGGGAGGTAAGTAAGGTATTTATTTGTATTTCAATAGTTCGTTTAACGTTGACAAATTGAAAGCCAACTCAATTATTAGTAATATCGAATTGTTTTAAAGAGATTTTAGGAATTATTGGATAATAGTGTCAACCACTCAACTACATACTACTTCCTTCTCGTGTATTTGTTTGCAAACTATTATTATAATTAC